AATAATCAAGTTGTTCTCTATCGAAGGTTCTCGTTTTATCGTTCTAGAATGTACCAGTTATCGGCTTCTCTCTTTCATCTGACATTCGCCTCGCATTTTCGCTACAATATTATAACTGAAAAATTGTTATGCTAAAATTTTTGAAAACTTTTCCACATATCAGTCTACATTCAAAATAACACGCAAAACGAACGATGAATGTGATTAATTCTCAGAACGACTTCCATGAGAGAAAAGCTATTTATACACTAATGTAGGCAAGAAGCTATTAGGAGAACTGTTCCGGAAGAAAAAAAAAGTATTTCTAATAATAAATCAGAGAAAAATACTGCCCATGTACCAAATTTCATACCAAACAATAGATAAGTTCATATATGATCGGTCCAAGGTCAACTTACCATGTTCCCCATATAAATTTAGGCAATATTTCACGTGAATCGATGATTTAAAATTAAACTTGATTTTATCGAATTGAAACCATTTCTTATCGGATTCCTACGTCATACACAGAACCCACCCTTCAAGTTTCAGTTATCTACCATCAGTGGTTTAGGCTGTGGCTATATTCGCCAGTGGTGCAGGACACATTTTTTTGTATACATGGATTATTCTCGAAGCAATTGCAACAGCCATACCTTCCTAATCGTCGCAAAACGCATTTCTTTCATAGGTCTCTTTAGTCTGGCAATGAGGATCAAATCGTAGGACAAAATGTTTTGAGGTGTCGTTTTCGGTTAAAAAAAATTAAGAACCATTATATCCATACGGATATCCATCCAAACTTATATCCATTGCTTTACAAAAAATTTTATACCAACTTTTTATCCATTTTTTCGAAAACAGAAAATTGGCGAGTACGCAACTCACTTCTTAACCTTAAAACTCCCAAAAAAAAAATAAATGTTAAATGCTGTAAGCTTTAGACTATGATAAGGGTTCATTCAAATCCAAAACAATTGAATAATGTTTGATCGATTTGGTTCTTTTCCTCCCGTATAATTATTTAGCATAATAATTATATGTTTTCTGGCCAAGGTTTGAATACATGACTCTACATAACGAAGGAAGCACGTTCTACAATACTAGCTAACAAATTCCTTAATCAGATTTGTAAGGGTTACCATTCATTTCATTTTGTGGAATCTCGCGCAATAAAAATTATAAGTAAAAATTTTTTTTTCAATTTTGAAATATTTTTTTTTTTTAATAGCAATATATGAAAAGCGTAAGAATATATTTTATTTCGGTGTGGAGTTTGAAAAAATTTACTATAAGAGTATACTTTAAAAAGTAAAAATCTTTAAGAAATACATATCTAGGTCACAGTGCTGCCATATACTTAATTTGCAATTTAATTTCTTTTTTCAAGTTAAATGAATTACATTTTTTTTCTATTTTCAACGAATTTTAACTTACCCTTTAGTTATAGTTATGTGGATTTGTTGTGATTTTTCTTAGTTTGAAGAAAGTTACCTAATTAAATTTTTGAATATATTTAGGTAATATTGAAGTTTTAATTTTCCATTTGCACTGGTCTCCAACTTCTATTCATGCAAGAATTGCTGTATTTTGCATTTCGGCTTATCTATAAAACCGTAGTCTACGCTTAGGCAGCGACATGCACCAAAATCGATCTTAAAGAAGATCAATTTAAAAACTGAACGAAAAAGCCATCACCTAGCGAAAGTACAGTCAACCACCATTCAGTGGAGACAGAAACCAATGCGCAGTTACTAGCTGCAGAAAATACTTTATTTTCTTATACACATATACACTTTCGTTAGCGCATTTTCGATGTACTACAGGTGCACTCAAAGTTTCACTTGCAGCACAGTTTGTGTAGAATAAGTGGAGTCACTGCGCTACACTGGTAGTTTTTCTTTATCCAAAGAACAAATATACGATTAACAGCAGTACCCACTGTGGATAGCTAAGTGTCCTTGTAATTTATGTCAATAATTCTTAATTCAAATATCAAATACTTTACAATTTCAACAACTGCCTAAGTACTCTTTAAATGTTTATGTTTATTCCTTTTTTTTGACGCACATACATTTGACTTTGAATATCATTAACAACGCTTGAAATAAATATTTAAGGACATACATAAGTATAAGTACCAGCACTCAGTACGTCAGTGAAGGACCTTTGCGCTGTGGAGGGTGGATTTGTGTGATTAAATAGCGTGTTTCTGCAAGAATAAACCACAAACCCGCTTAAAACAATTATACACTCGCTAAGTGCCACTCAATTAACCGCAGTTGGCTAAATTTAAAAGCAAAATAAAAACAAAATTGTAAAAAATTAAATATGTGGTTACAATCTGATATCGAGAAGGCTGAGTTTTTTATGAGCATGTGAATTATGGGAATGTATATATATACTTGAATTGAAATGCATTAATTGAAGCCAAATCTTAACATTTATAAATTCTCGGGAGATTTTTTTATCTAGGCCAAGGAATTTTTTTAATTTTTTATGAAGCCTCTGGTGCGGTTTATTAAAGATGAGAGTTGTATGCTGGCAAAAACTGATGTTCTGCCTTCTCTGTATTGTAAGTTAGAAGGCTTCAAACAAATTATAACTTGTGAAAAGCTTGAAATTTAATATGTTCACCATTCACAGTATCTAAGAATAATTTTGCGATTGCACTTGGATTTGCGAATGTTTCGCTTTTAACAGTTTCGGGTATTGGGTAGTATGTGGTGGTCATCAGGTTAGATAATAATAATAATACTACCCTCCATCCACCCAACCGACACGAGAGGCGACATTCGAATAACGTACGGAAGAGTCGACTTAAAACTGTTCAGCTACAGAAAAAAAAATATTGAACAGTTAAAATTAAATAATTAAAGAATTTTAAAATTTAATTGCTGAAGGTGCTGGAATAAAAATTAAAATTTCGACACAATCGGTGAAAAAGTTCCTTCAGCTCATAATTTTTTTCATAATTTTAATAATAAAACCCTAAACTGCGTCGAAACACTAAAGTTTACCTCAGACAAGCGCCATGAACTACAAATTGATCCGTTAAGAAGTTTCACCACGAACAATGCGCCTAAAATTTCTCTGTGACTTGTGAGAGCAGGTAGATTTAGTAACCTTAAACGGTTGGTATAGGGAGGAAGGTTTATCGTAGTTTTTGTATAGATGAGAGTGAGAGAGAGATGAGATGAGATGAGATGAGATGAGATGAGATGAGATGAGATGAGATGAGATGAGATGAGATGAGATGAGATGAGATGAGATGAGATCAGATGAGATGAGATAATATGAGATGAGACGAGATGAGATGCGACCAGAATGAGATGAGATGAGATGAGATGAGATGAGATGAGATGAGATGAGATGAGATGAGATGAGATGAGATGAGATGAGATGAGATGAGATGACTTACAAACTTTACAATATCGCTAAATAATCAAAAGAGAATGAGGTAATTTCCAGTCCAAAAGTTTTCCAATTAATATCCAACTACATCCCAAAATACGGGTGTCATAATATTCCCAACCAATGGTCAGAGAAAAATCGTTTTAACATGGCCTAACACTGTTCTGAAATATTTCAATTGCACTAGCTGGGCCTTAGTTTCGACTTCTAATACGTAAACCTATCTTTCGTCATTCCTCATCAATAATTCTGGTATTAATCGACGTTGACTCATCAGTGACTTGTGGACAATTTCTGGTCGTCGCTGTTGTTTTTAAGCCATAAATCGATCGATTGGCTATGTGAATGAAATCAGCGACCTCTCTAGTTCTGTTTCGGTGATCGTTCACAGACATTCTTTCACATTTTGCACTTATCATCAGCTCAGGGACTTCTTGGAAATGCTTTCAGCACTTGTGACCAATCTTCACAGGTAACATTTCATACAAATAAATTTACATATGTATCTGATCAAATTTGTTACCTTATCGTCGTCCAAAAAATCCGAATTTTCCCAAATGGAAATTCAAATGAGAGTTCAGCTTATGTTTTTCTACTGACTTATTATACCCCACAATTTTGTATGACATTATAAGTTTATTTATTAGTTTTTTTTTAAATTTCTACTTTGTGGTTTCCAAGAAATTTTGGACAATATTCACAAAACAGGCTGCTGGCCAGGCTGCTGTAAAGGCTTGTTTCTTTAGACCAATTCAAATCACGATCTAAATAGTGCAAGTCTTTTTGAGTCACATAATAAAGTGTTTTTGGAATCGACGGTTCGTAACTTGACTCCATATCATGGATACCATAACATATTCACTTGAAACAAATTCCTCACTAAAATTTGGTCTTTAAGATCGATTTGAAGGTTTCGCCAGAGGCAGGTCGGAACTATTAAGGATGGTTATTTTCGTTAAGAACAGGATTGGATAGTAAGTCAGCCAAAAATAACAATCATTTATGTAGTCCACAGCATTTATTGAGATTTTTCTTTAGCCTAAGCTAATACAAATCTCACAAACGCTACACAGCATTCATGTGGAACCCAAGATTACTCAGAGAAAACACTAAATTTCTTCACTACTTTTAGTTTTTTCTGAGATATAGTTTTTTTGCATCTTTTTGTCTGAGAAGAAGAGAGAGAGAATTGAGCTGTACTAAGATATAAAATGATTTTAGGGGGTATTTCTGGAATAATCTAGAAACGTTATTGAAAGCTCTGATGCATGGCTAAAGAAGCATGTTTTCCACTTTTTCTTGATTTCAGCGCTTTTTCTTTGAAAGCTTCCTAATTAAGCTCGGCTAAAGATTCGCAAGAGAGCTTAGTCTTTTTCTAATTTTTTTTTTAATAATTTCACAGGAAAGATTTCTAATAAATAATTAAAATTTTATTTTTCTGTTTCATCTTTATTCGTTTAACGCTTTATTTTAGTTTACATATATATGTATGCATTTTATTTTTTTATGTTTGCATTCCAATTCCATACAATTCCAATTTTCTTTAATTAAGGTTTTTTCTTTAACATTTCTCGTTTCTACTTATAAATTTAATAACACGAACGCCTAAATCTAACAACTTAAAAATACAATATTCGATGCTGTACAACAACACTAACAAACTATGAGTATTACACAACTTGCTTAATTCCTACTTTCATCACTTCGTCGCATTGCTCAACTGCACACGCCTCGTCGTAATACTTTTTGGCCATTCGGAGCGTTACGTCTTTAAGACTTCTTCAACTTCCAACGTCCGCCGACATTTACTTGAATTACCCATTCACCATTCGCCATTCGCCATTCGCCATTTAGAATTCATTCGCTTCGCACTGCCAATCCTGCAATAAACCCAAAATTTGCAAGGACTCGTACGTATCAAAGTCATCAGCATAACGCAAGGATCTCAATGTTCTTGCGCTTACAACATTCATGGCTGCCGCTTGTGCCTCCGCCCACTTGCCACTGTACGCTTTGTTGCTTTCGTATTCGCGCGGCAATGCCAGAGTCAACGGCAATTGTTCCGCCATAACGGAATGATGCGTGACCAATGCCTTTAACGATGTAAATTGCTTCTTGGCGCCTTTAAGCTTGTAATGATTGTCGGCCAGCGACACGACGGCGAAATGTTTCACCTTCGTTTCGGCGCGCAGGCATAGCTCGTAGGTGCGCGATTTGCGGCGCAGCAGGAAGGTGCCGGGGGCGGCGGGCAGTAGACGCTCGAGCGCGGCTTTGGTGGTGATGCGCGGTTGGTACCAACTGCTGGCCAGCAGTTCGACCTCGTCGTTGGCGGAGCTGAGGTTGTAGCGCGGCGATTTCTCTTGCTTTTGTTTCTGTTTCTGTTTGTGCTTTTGTTGTTGCTTTCGCTTACGTTGTTTCGCCGGACTTGTTTTGTCGCTTATCAACTGACAGCAATCGGAGATGCCAGCATCGGAATCTTCGGCAGCGATGTGTTGGTAATCATCATCATCAGCAGCAGTCTTCTGGGTCGCGCGCCAGTCTGCTACATCCTCGGTGTCGTCTTCTTCCGGCTCTGTGGTGGAGTCCGTGTATTGGGTGATGTTTTGCCAACAATTGAGGGAGAGCATTGACTTTTGTGGACTAATCGATTTCTGTGGTGTAGTGCTTTGGACGCTACTTTTTCGGTCTTGCTGTAGCTCGTGTGCTGACGTAGCTTCCTCTGTGTCGCTTTCTAATGGGTAAGTGCATTGACTACTGCAATCGCTGGCGTCCTCCTCGTCTGCATTGTAAGAGGAATCCAATATGTCGACCTGTATTGAAAGAGAGAGAGAGAGAGAGAAAGGAGGAAAGTGAAAATAAGATTAGAAATCTGAAACTAGCTTTGCTTTAGCTTACTTCGCAGTAAGCCAACTCACCTCATCATAATCACTTGTGACATCCTCCTCAGTGTCGCTTTTGCAATGCGCTGTTAGGTAGTTTTGTTGTTTTTCCAGCTGTTGTTCTCGCTCCTGCTGTGGTTCATGTCGCTGCTGAAAGAGTTTCCTACGTAAAAAGTCCTTCATGCAATCATATACTTTTGGTCTTTTGCTGGCACTAACGAGCAGCTCTCGATCTCCTTCACCATCCGCACGCCAGCCGTGCTGATGCTCATGCCACGTCAGTTTCTCCGCCCCACTGGCAACCATTGTGCGACTATAATAGCCCGAGGAGGTGGAGTACGAGCAGGAGTGCGATTGTGATTGTGATTGTGAGTGTGAGCACGAGTTGGATTTTTGTGATGAAGACGTTGACAAGTGAGTGACACTGTCAGCATTTGTTGCAACTGGCAATGTTGGCATTGTTGTTGTATGTTTTTCTGTTGCACACAATGTGTTGCTATTGTTGTTGGTAGTTGTTAAAAACTTGCTGCTCCATTGCTGATATTTGCGCAAGGCCAAGTCTATGCTGCGACTTGTCATTGTTGTTGCTACTGCTGTAGGTGTGGTTGTCATTGTCGGCGGCATTGCTGTTGTGGTGGCAACTGTAGGCGTCGCTGTGGCTTCAGTTCGACTGACAGTGCAGGCGTAATCCGGATATAATTCAGCGTACGCTGGACAATTTGCGCCAAATTGCTGTTGCAGCTGAAAGAAAGTCGAGAGAAAGAATTATTAAAATGCTGTTGTTCTCTTTGTTGTAAACTTTTCAAGTTTTTAGTGTTGCAAACATTTATTTTAATGGGTTTTCCTATTGGTACAAGCGTTGTGGACACGGAAATCGCGTAGAAAATTACCAATTAGTAGAGGGTCTTTGAGCGCTTGCCAAAATTGTTTGCAACGTGAGAGAGGGAGAAAGGTTTCTATGCAATTAGAAAATAGCTTAAAATGCACTAAAGTCGCTATTACATAAAATAAGTACAAAATTACTACAAATAGGCAGTGAATATCGAATTGAGAGATTTGGAAGGTTTGTTGATTTCCAAAGACGGGCGCAAGAGGTTGGATTACTAAGCGGTGTTTCTTAAGAAATCTTATGCTCTGAGCTGCTGATCACTGAGTTCATGACTTAGCCTTGCATTCTATACATCTAGTTAAATATTTATATATATATATATATATATATATATATATATATATATTTGACGCTTTATAGCCGCTGAAGCGACTTTCGGCCGAGCTTCTCCTCCAAGTTATGGTTTTGCTGATGGCTTCTTAGGAGGGGGTTGACATTCCCTGCCGAGCGACGACCGCAATCAGAAAACTTAGCTTAATTTTTTATTTAAAATTTATATAATATGAACCAATAAATTCATTATCTCAACTAGAGCCTTAAATGACTTAAATAAGGTAAAGTGTCATATCCGGCACAAAATGAAAAAAAAAATAAATAAATATATTCGTAACAGTATAGAAATGACTCAACTCCCTAAGCCATAAAATACGCTAAAACCAAATTAATTTTATTATTTTTTCCACTGAAACTACTATGGTGGCATGCCGGCTTGTTTCCGTCTACTTCGTAGTATCAGCAACTGCATGGCGCTTCACCATAAAATCAAAAGGTAGAAATAGCTGTGAGTGTGAGTCAACTATATGCACGCCAGTGTATACTGGATTTCTTTGTGATAGTAAGTAAAAATTAAGCAGAAGAAGTAGAAATAAGTAGAGGTAAGTAGGCTCAGCAGGGTTTGTTGACAAAAGTGGGTTTTTGTATGCTGTGGCTAGTAACATAGGCAGAAAAACAGAAGAAATCAATGAGGGCATGCAAAAAGGTTGGAATGTGTATGAATACATATACTCTTACATACTATATGGTATGTATATATGTGGTTAATTTTCTGTGAACTATGTGGTGGTAGCAATTCTTAGGAAAAAAAGTAGGTGTTGCTTACTTTGATGACTATGCCAATCGTCTATTCTTTTTTGCCCACTGGCTTCTACTGAGAGTACTGCGAATTTTCACAAAATGGTTTCAATTTATCAATTTATCATCAAACAAAGCGACTTTTGAGAAGCTGCACCCATAGGAGCAGAATTTTATTAACAATAATATTTTCTAAAGATATTTGATAAAAGCAGAAGTATTTTTGGAACTTCATAAATTTACTATAAGTGTTCAGAACATACTCAAGTATATAAATATAGCCGTACGTTTTTTTTGTCGCTGGGGACTCAAATCTTAGGAGAAATGTTTGCAGAACAAATTATTTGTTATTTCATATTGGCTTTCATTAAAATGATTTATTAAGGTAAATACTTCAGATTGTTGGATGAGGAGGGGCGTGCAAACAAGAAAAGATATAGAAATATTTGTAGAAAATTTTATATCACAAGGAGAAAAAATAAATAAATAAAAATAGCAGCTAATAATTCTCTTAATTGTTGTGCAACCTCAAGTAATACAGAAAATTGAAAATTTTCTTACTTAAAATAAATAAAAGAGAATTCTCTATAACATTATTTCATATTGACCATAGTTCCTCTTCTGGTTGAAGTACATTTTTTTCTATTACTGACAAATGGTTTTGGAAGCAGACGTTTTTCAATAAATCGGATTTTAAATTTTCTACCACTTCTTAAACACTCCTTGATACCCAAGCTTGACTATCCACTAAATGGTTTTAATAAAAGGTCATAAACCAGCTTACAATTGTAGACACCAAATCAGTTTCGCCGAGTTCTTGTACATTTGGGTTTAACTGTATCTGAATATATGCCTCTCATTCGTTTTTTTCTGAAGTATTTAGAACCCTTTTTCCTTTCAGCTTTTCGGACGGTGTGAAGCTAGATCCCACCGCAACTTATTTCCAATGAATTGCAGTGCTCTGTATGTAATAACCGCTAAGCAGATTTTAGACCGAACTCAAGCTCTAATTTTTAGTTTTGCACTTAGATATTTTTCCAGCAACTGGAGAGCCCTGCAGTTAACACTAAGCCGTCTCAGAACGACCTATGGATTTTCATGAGAAGCTTTTTATTCCATGACAGAAATAGACACGGAAGGTTTGGCATTATAAATTTTAGATTTCTATAATTTTTGATGCTTGGTCAAACCAAGACTCGAATTCTAATCACTCGGCAATTAAGACTGCCAAATTATGTTGGTTTTTAGTCTGGTCGGAATTCAAACCCCAGCCCTTCTGCGTGATAGCAGGCATTTCTAGCCACTCAGCCAATTCGGTGTATGCGATTAAAAAGGTAGAATTCAACATTGTTATTTCAAAGACTTGCTGTTTTGTCAGGTCTTAGTATTAATAATCCAAACTTTTTTAAACGAGGCATACTTTTAGGGTTTAAAAGTAGAAGTATTTTAACATTTTAAAGCGACTTTTATGAAACTGTTTCTTGGTTCTTGGTAATGCAACATGCAACAATGGGTATGAAGGTTTTCAGTAATTTAACGGAAAGGTATACAATTAATTTAATAGAAATTCTAAAGCGCCCAAATGTATGCTTCTTCTTTTATATACATATATGTGCATATATAGATATTGTATTGTAATAACTTCTGTTGAGCACTGCTATCAAAACAATGTACCCAGCACATGTTTCTCATAAAAATAACAACATTGCAAGCACAAAAGGATAATCACATTATAGTAACCTAAAAAGAACACGCATATGTGCCATAAAGATTGACAAGCATGGCAAGTAAAATTCATAAGCATGTATGTATGTATGCTTATAAATATGCATATAAATAAGTGTGTTGCTCATATTCGTCACATATTTATATTATGGCTACTTCCTACTCACTTCTCCCTTCCACTTCCTCTGAGTCTGTTTACTTCATTATGTTGTATAAAATTTTTTTTATTATTTTTTTTCAACAAAGAAAATCGTGTTAAATATCATAACCATGTGCAGTCCTGTGTGCCAAAAAAAGGACTAATGCCATTTCGGACACACGCTGCAATTGATGTTTCTCATATTTGCTTTTTCATATTTACACTTTGTTGTGTTTTTTTATTTCGTTCTTTTCTCTGTGCTACTACTCTTTCATTTCCTTAATTTTATTATATTTCATAAGCATATATTTTTTGTGGCAAAACTCATTTTTTGCATTTAACTTATTATTGTCATCATTATTCTGTGGGTTTATCTCGTTTTCTGTGCTCCCACATATATAAAGATAACAACAATAGAAACACATTTGCAACTTATGCTCTTTTGCCTTTTTGTTCCATTATTTACACTGCTTATTTTGTAGTTATTGTCTTGTTGTTTCTGTCGTTAGATATTTTTGTGATTTGTCACTTTTGGCGTTGATTTTCAAGTAAAATACGGATTCTGTGAAAATGTTAGTGAGATTTTGTCCAAAGAGGATTTGTGACTTAGTATAAATGTTGGTGAGTAAGAGAAGAAGCAAAAAAGCGTTGAAATATAAGAAAACAGTGTCAAACATTTTGCTTTTTCGAGTGACACATTTTCAAAAAAACTCTCTTTTTACTAAAAATATACGTTCGGTTTGAAATCTCAAATTCACAGATACCAAAAGACAGACATATATAATTAATATATGTATATACAATGCATAATCTGCACTTTCTAACCGCTGAAGCGATTTTCGGCCGATTTTCTACTCCGATTTGTGCGTTAGCGTCTTGAAGTTTTTGCAACAGATGGAAGGTCCTACAATTTATATTAAGCCACCTCCGAACGGCGGATAAATTTTTATGAGGACCTTTTACATTTATGTCAGAAAAACATTCGGATGGTTTGACATTTCCCATTATTAATACATTTTTTTTAATTCTTTTAATTATTATTATTTTTTTAATACAAAGTCTCCGATATGCAAGATTTTCCGCTTAAATTTCTGTTACTGAGAATGCCTGCTAATTAAATTTGTCTTTGCCCACAGTGAAAATATTCATTTTTATACAAATTACGTTTGTAAAGAAAACTGAAAGTAAATGCTTAATGAATGGTTATGCATGAAATTACTGCAATAACTGCCTATTTTCTTCAAAGCCCATTCAACGCCACCGATTTTTCATTATACACATAAAAAGGCTACTACTACTTGCTCTCTTCTACAGACATTTCCACTTTAGAGACAAAAGATGCAAAAACAGACGAAGCTCAAACGTAGTAATACAACTACAAAGTTAAATGAAAAATGAGAAAGGATACACCGTAACCATCATAGCAACTTTGCTCATCAATCGTTGTAGAGCAGAGAAGAAATTATCTGTTACAGTGGTGGGAAACGTAAAGCAGATTACTATTTCTGTAGTATTATTACTATTATTTTTTTTATTTAAATTTACATACATATCTCAAACTCCAGTGAAAACTACCAAAGCAATCGAGTGCACAGACAGGAAAAATGGCAAAATAATGAGCGCACAATAAGAAGGATACTCCACATTTACAATAGCAGCTGATATGTGTATGTTTGAGCGAGTTTTTGTATTTGCTTTTTTACAATTTTCCATACAACCAACAAAGCGTGTGTGTTTGAGGTACTTGAACTTCCTGCATTGAACATCGTTCGTCATGCGTCGATCAGACGATTCGATTTCAATTGTCTGCCTTTGAAAGGTTTGGTGGTTTATTGGCAAACTGACGCGTCATGCCAAATGGTTTGGCAGGCATTCATCATTACTACCATTAATACTTTATATGGCGTATGCAAGGGA